AAAAATCAATTTAGAAAACTCATAGATGAAAATGGTGGCTTTCTCTTGAGGAAGAAGAAGAACAAAAACTTAGCAAGAACCTTTTCAAAACTTCCCGTCAAAAGTGACGACTGCGAAAATGACGAATCATTTTACTTTTACCCAAAAATTCCTCTGTCAGAATAGTACACATGGCAGCTGAAAAAATTCGCATAATATGACAAAAATGTTTGTTTTGATCCAGCTGGAAATCCTTCAGCTGATGCAAAGGATGACTAGTTATATGAAAACAAGATCACTACTCATAATCTTAAGAATCTAATGAATACAATATGATACAATGCACAAATTACCTTTGCCAATATGATTGATCTTGCATAAGATAGCAGCCAAATAAGAACACTTAGAGAAACTATTCTTAATCTAAACTTGAGCTTGGGTAATTACAATGTATGTCCTATTACAATATTGCCAAGGGAAGCCAAAAAAAAAAAAACTTTAAAAAACGTAGACTTAACAAGTCCTGTACATCTGACAGCCACTTTTGATGAACTTGCAAATATGCAAATATGAATGCATGGATGCAAAACATACCTTGACATTGTCTCTGAGTCACACTGATCCAGGATAGCAGAACGTCACTTAGAAACACCTAGCCATGATGAATACCAGCTCCAATACCGACCAAAAAAATAACAGCTCCAATAAGCGATTAAAAATAACAAAAAAATCAAATAGAAACACGTAGCCATGATTAATACCGAAAGACTGGAAGAAAAATGGTAAACAACCCCACTAATTCAATTGTATGCGTGCTAACTATATATTAATAATTTTAGAGAGCCTCCCCTCAATCTATTTCTCTAGTTACCCAAATTTGCATAAAGTTTTACGTACTTTTCTTGTTTCTTGCTTTCAAATATGAGGATATCTTCTTCAATTGTTTCAGACATTGTTTTCTAATTGCACCCACATAAGGTTTATATAGGTTTGTCAAACTCCTTCTTTCATTTAAATGATTATGTGAAGAATTTCACAAGGAAGGCCAACTAGATTACTTATTAATCATGTTTAAGATGGCAAGGATGATCTATGAATGAAGATGTGAAAAATAGATGTTTTGGATCGTTGAAATTTTTTTAGTCTAGCAGTACTTTTCTTTCCAATATATGTTTGAAACGGTGTCAAGTTGGAATCCCTCTACTTGGTTGATTAAAAAGGAAAAATAGAATGAGAAAGGTATATCTTAAATCAAAACTTCTTAAAAGTCCTGTAGTTGTAGAAATTTACTTATATCATCGATGATTAGAATGAATAATCATTCATTTTTAACCAACTCCAGCTACCTAGCTATAAGGTGGGAGAACAGTGCATGGATTGCTTGTGGAGTTGTTTCGTTTGCATCACGGTGAAGGAGGTGACCTTCTGCATCTTTACTCTGCTGTATAATTACCAAATATAGTAACAGTAGTGTTGTAGCTACGTACGTATCCTGGCGGCAGGAAATTAATTTATTAGAATAAATTACCAAATTTGGTCTTGTTCATCATGATTCATTGTTAGCCGCGTAGGACGCAAAGGCGGGGCGGCGAACCAATGGACGCTAGTTGAACATCGTGGGGTGGTCTATTGGATTGTGGAATGTTCAGAAGTAGTAAGAGATTTGAATTCATTCTGAGTAGTTGTCATCTAATTAAGATATATATTTTATATAATATACTTTTTGTATTTGGTCCAAAGGTCTTGCTGTCACTCACGCGCTCAAAATAGTGCCCCTTAACTTTTTTTCTTAAACAAAAAAACATGCTGAGGCTTGTTTTTTAGCTTATGGTATGTTCATACTTGTACTCAATTATTAGGGTTTTCCTTATGTTCTTGGACAGAGGTGGGGATGTTCATACTTGTACTTGTTTTATATATATACATGTAACATATGGGCACAAAGGAAACCTTGCAGAGTCAAGAATGGTGCGGGGAGACATTCGAAATCAAAAGTAACATAAGGTTTAACAGGCTGCTGCCGGTAATTAAGGTTTAGACTACTAACAAAACTCATACAGAAAACGTAGTACGACTTGGTAGACAGAAGTAAAATATAAATAAAATTATTGACAACATCGATCCTACGTATAACCAAACGTGCCCAACCCCACGACAGCATCTGCACTCAACCCACAGAGCATTTGGACGGGAAGAAAAGAGAAAGCTCTTGAAACATTTTGGCACGCGCCCCATGACTTTCTTGCATTCCATTCTGGTCGATTGGATAAGTCTTCAGTGGGAAGAAAAGGTCTAAATGCAGATCAACTTTACTAATTAAAGTCGGACATTTCGGTTAGATTACTATGGAAAAAAAATTACTACAGACAGAAAGGTTGAGGCTTCTTTTTTCTAAAGTAATTTTGTTGGGCACCGGCTTGATTGTTACTTGAAGAGGTTTGGATGGTTAAAAGTCATACAAAAATCAGTCATTTCTTTGGTGATTCTCAGGTACACTGCACAGCACTCAGTACGAAACGAGTCGATTAATTGGCTAAGTCTTTTCAATTAATGGGAAAAAATGGTCTATTCGTACTAAAATATAAGAAGCTGAAATATTTGGAGGGCGGTTACACATGCTATGCAAATTTTAAAATGAGTTCTTAGATCTATGTCTAAAATGATTAGTTGTCATTGAGTTTAGTCCACGCTTTTTGGTTTTAGATATAGGTTCTTTGACTTTTATTACTTTTTTGTTGTGTCGATTTTACCCATTGGGATAAATAAGGAAAACACATTGAAAATTTAAATTTAATGCATTATTTCCTCATAATTGAATTTCAGAATTTAAATTTTGAATTATTTCTTTGATAATATTTATCTAATATATGGATAAAATATAATTTAATTAATGATAGTAAAGACCCATATATTACACCAATTATTCAGGCAACACCCACATGAAATTATGTACATTAACATACATGTAAATAGTGTTATTATTAGCAATGAAAAAACTTAGTGATGTGTTACTTATAAGTCAGGAACATAAATTAAAAGACTACCTATAAGTTAAATACAAAATAGACAAATAAAAATTGTTTGTTACCTATTAAAAAAAGGTACATAAAATACTATTATACATTATTCAAAATATGAAAAACACATATACGTATGCAATAGGCAATAGAACAATATACTTACACCATAGGATAACATATCTATAAGAGTATGTAATATACCTCTACCATAGGGCGAACAAAAATAAAAATTGTTACCTATAACTCATGTGCTAAACGATGTGCTATTGTATTTTCTTCCCTAAAAACATGTAAAATAGAGGCTTGAGCAAATTGATCCAAAACAGATATGCACAGCCATCGACCAAGCACCCTGCTGTGCCATATCTGACATCAAAATGGTCCCCAAGAAAAAAGAATTGCTTGCTGCCATGGAGGTTGCTGATGTGAAGAAGAAGTGGGAGAACAACTCTTGGGGGTAGGAAATTGATTGTTTAGAAGAGAAGTGCATCTTAGGAAATATCATAATATTTAGTTTACAATTTTGCCATGGAAAAAGCTTTATGTACCCGATTCAAGGCATAAGGGCAACATTGGAAGAAAAAATAATTTTACAAATTAAATAAGAAAATATTTAAAAAGGAATGTAATCCTATATGGCACAAAAGTCAAAACACTTGTAGCAAAGTCGCCAAATCCGAGGATTAAACCCAACTTCTTAATAGAAATTTGGATCTATATAACTTTTCTAATTTTAAAACTAAGAAGACTAAGCAAAGTTTACATTTGCAGTCCGAAGTTAATTACGCAGAAGATTACTTTAGGGCCTTGAATCCTTTTTTTAAAAGTAATTTTGTTGGCTCCGGCTTGACTGGTTTATTGAGGAGGTTTTGATGGTTAAAAGTCAACCACGCATTTCTTAGTGCAGTCCGCCCACAGACTACTTAATTAATTAATATGATCAAATATATGTGGGATCTCACTGGACTTGGACTACTTAATCCCATCCGATGAGAGACTAATTACAATAATCTCATCGTTTTCCCTCTTAGTTAGAGGTTCATTAATTTGCTTTCAGAGCCTCAAACAGTAATTATACAGAACTCCCATGCATATGTTTTAAGTTAAGGTAGGTTATGTTCATTTCAATCAAGTTTGCAGATTTTGGTCTGCATGCTTCTATTTAATTATACAGAAATACCATGCATGCTTCTATTCGTTTTCCCTCTTAGTTAGATTTTGGTCTGCGTGCTTCTATTTGATTTATGTTCATTTGACCTTTCTCAGAAAAGCTGTCACTTACTTACAAACAGACAACTAACAAATTGAAACAACCTCTTTCTCTATTCCCTAGCCCTCTCTTTTTCTGCTATGCATCTCTCACTTGAACCTTTTTTCTCTGATCAAGTCAGGTTTTTATTTTTTACCCTAAAGTTGTACGTTTCTACCACAACATCCATACACTTGGCTGGGCAAAGTTCGTCCGTTTTCATTGTGGTTTTATTGAAACAACCAATCAATCAAGTCTTTTAACCCTAACAGGGCAATTATTGCCCAATCCCCTGTTTATTTGTGGCTGAAATATATATTTGATACTGTTCATAATGAAGTGATTATGAAAATTTCAAACTGTAAGAACTAGTTGATGTCGTTTGTAAGTCTCTTGCAATTAATGATTTATGAATCAATACGAAGGAGTTGTGTTATTGAATGATTTCTTTTTTTCTTTTCTTTTTTGCCTTAGTATTTAGTATTTGAGGTTGATCCCCATGATAGTTTTCCTCGCTCCACCACTTTGACTTGGGGAAAAAATTAAGTAGGCATCTTGCATCATCCTTGTCCAAGCGACCTCAATATGGCATGTTTTTAAATGGAAACCTGTCTTACAGACGATGGTTATCTTTTCCTTTGCAGACAGGTACCTTGGTCAGAATAATTTGCAGAAGCCCATTTGAGTTTTTCAGCCAGCTTTAAGTCTTTGTTTGGATCAGAAAGTACATCTTGTGGCTGCGGTACTGAATCATGGCTAGGTGCAGTCTCACCTTAACTGTCTTCATCATGTTTTCGATCTTAATGTGGAGTACTAGTACTTGTGGTGCAAGCGGCACGGATACGCTTAAACCAGGTGAGACTCTAGATTACTCGAGCTTATTAGTTTCTGCGAACGGGAAGTTCACTTTGGGTTTCTATGTAAGTGATCACAACAATTCGAAGTATTCCAGATACCTAGGTATCTGGTGCAAGCAAAATTATATGAATTACCCATGGATTGCGAACCGAGACAAACCTATTCCATACCCTTTTGTGGCAGTTCTTGCTTTGGAAAAAACCAATTCAACCCTCAAAATTACACTCAATAATGGTACTGGCAGCCCTATCCAGCTTTACACTGCTCCAAAAGCCTCTACCAACATCAACACTAGTAATGTTGTGGCTACCCTTTTGGATTCTGGTAATTTTGTCCTGCAAGAAGTCAACTCTGAGTCTCTATATGGATCAACGGTGAAGAGGGTGTTGTGGCAAAGTTTTGACTATCCCACGGACATCCTTTTGCCAGGTATGAAAGTAGGTATTGACCATCGAAATGGTCACATTTGGTCACTTATATCTTGGCTTACCGAGTACAGCGGAGAGCCGCGTCCTTTCACTCTTGATTGGGATCCCAGCGCACGCCAATTGAAGATTAGGCGACGTGGGGTGGTCTACTGGACTAGTGGAGCCTTCATCAACAATAACAGATTTAAATTCATACTACCTGATGATGAATCCAATCTGAGATATAATTTCACAATTGTTTCAAATGTGAATGAAGACTATTTCACTTTCGCAAGTGCTAATGCGGCATCAGAATGGATGTTGACCACAACGGGGAGACTAATTGACCTTGATGGAGGAGTTGATGTTGCACAATCAGGTAACTGCCATGGCCAAAACAGTGATGGAGGATGCCAAAGATGGGATTGTACGCGGATCCACGTTAGATTTGACCCACGAAGTGGTGAGTTTCATCAAATAAGCAAATCCGACTTGGATTCAATAATCTCGACTGATCCCGATGCCAGTCTCAGCAGCAGTGATTGTATGGGCACTTGTATGAGCTCTTGTGACTGCATTGGATTCAGCTCTCTATTTGATAATGAGACTGGATGCAAGTTTTGGAGTGGAAACTGGAAGTTCGTTGAAGACTATCTCCCTGATAATACTACAAGGGTTTTTGTACAAACAACAGAGGCAACCCGTTCTGGTAAGTAACATTAATTTTTCTAAGATAATCATCATTACAATATTGTGCCCTATGTAACTTACATGAATCATTACACATAATGAGGATTTATTCCTTCTTAATTAATTATTACAAATCACAGTGTATGCATACATGCAATAATTTTTCTTTGTTTACTTTTTTTTTTGGTCATTTGTGTGGCAGCGTCTTCGAACAAAATACATATAGCTAATTAAATGTTACGATCTCTAGATGCAGCACCTGATAAGTGGTTATGGATTGGCTCTGGCAGTACTGCAGCCGTGCTTTGGATCGTGTGCTATTTACTAAGGAAAAGAAAATTACAATGTTCCGGTATGCATTCTTTAAACTTAATGTGCAGCCGTTTATACAGAACATGTACAAATTAACATAATATTGATAGAATGATTCTCATCTCTGACAAACAAAAAGGGACAGTGATTGAGAATGCATTGCTCGACTTGACGGACACTAATGGCAACGGGCTTCAAAATGATGGACTGATGGAACACGATTTAAGAGTATTTAGCTATGCATTTGTCATGGCTGCCACAGACAACTTCTCCACTGAAAACAAGCTTGGTGAGGGGGGATTTGGACCTGTTTATAAGGTAAGTCTATGATTACTATTGAAAGTATTTTTATATCTATTTCCAAGAAATGCCTGATATATATATTTGGTACCATTAATTCAGGGAACATTGGAATCGGGACAAGAAATAGCCGTGAAAACGCTTTCAAGATGTTCAGGGCAAGGAACATTTGAGTTTAAGAATGAATTGATACTCATATCTGAACTTCAACATACGAATCTTGTTCGTCTGTTTGGATTTTGCATTCATAACGAAGAGAGGATGTTAATATATGAGAATATGCCAAACAAAAGTTTGGACTACCTTTTATTTGGTTGAGAACACATCTATTACTTTAATCTTATACACATACAAACACATCTATTTGTTATTTATTATGAAGTACGTACATATTGTGATATATATTACTCATCCTTCTAACTCTATTTTAGGTACTGATCCAACCAGAGGCCTGTTACTAGATTGGAAGACTCGTTTCGGCATAATTGAAGGAATCGCTCAAGGATTGCTTTACCTTCACAAATACTCAAGATTGAGAGTAATTCATAGAGATCTAAAAGCTAGTAATATACTACTTGATGAAAATATGAACCCTAAAATCTCTGATTTTGGTATTTCAAGGGCATTTGTCCATAATGAAATGGAAGCAAATACTGATAGGATCGTTGGGACATTGTAAGTAAACAGTACATATTCTTAACATGCATATATATAATTTCATTTTTGGTTGTTAATTATGGATTCATGTATATTTATACGTACTAAATTTTTTTTGTTTTTATCTATCTGGAATAGAGGTTACATGTCTCCTGAATACGCTATGGAGGGAGTTTTCTCCCCAAAATCCGATGTCTACAGTTTTGGAGTACTAATGCTTGAAATCATATGTGGTAGAAAAAACAGCAGCTTCTACCATGATGATCGTGTGATCAGTATAGTAGGTTATGTACGTCAAACACATACATACCATGTTTGATAAAATTTTCAGGTGTGAGATTATGATATCCTAAATGAATTAACATGATGATCTTGTTACATCAGGCATGGGAGTTATGGAAAGAAGGGGCAGGGCTAGAACTTATGGATCCAACACTAGGCGAGTCATGTGTTAGGGATCAATTGTTGAGATGCGTCCATGTTAGTCTATTATGCGTGGAGGAAAATGCCGACGATCAACCGACGATGTCAGATGTCATATCTATGTTGACAAATGAAGGTGTGCCATTACCTATACCTACAAAGCCAGCATTTTTCACAAAAAGAAGGGTGATCGGCAGGGGTGGCTTGGGTGGAAATGATTTGGAGCTTATATCAATAAATGGCTTGTCTAATTCGGATTTGGAGGGACGTTAAAAGCACTAACATATAGTTATACTTAGTTTCATAAAATTGTAAAGAATAAAGATATGATGATATGTTCGAAGCCTGATCTTCAGGTGATGCTGGCTATATGTGAATTTCCAAAATTATTTCTTTTAAAAACTATGTTATTAACAAGGCACTAGTGTCAATATCGTAATATCAGCTTCTATATTTTCCACGTAGGTTATCATACATAGTTTATCCCTAATGTCCTTTTTTTTTTTTTGTTGGACGAATATTTGGGACGAATATTTCAATTTAAAAATTATTCCATTTGTAGATGTACCTTGGTCAAGGAGCCCCCCGACGGTACCCAAGTTTGGTTTTGCCTCTTTTTAAATTAGAATAATTATTCAGAATAATTTAGACTATATCATTTGTATGAAATATATTTATTATATTACATTTAATCATGCAATGCTCCCTACAAAATTTGAGAACGTTGGAACACCAATTAACCTCTAAAACATGGATTACATTTTTTAATTTTTGTATATTCTATATCATTCTGTAAAGGTGGATGGATATATATATATGGGTTCAAATTGTAAATACATAGAGAGAATAGGATATGTAAAAGTTAGCCGTTTTGAATGCTCACAATAGAAACCTACAGCAGCTCCTTTCTTTCTTCAGAAATGGTTCTTTCCATTTTCATGAAATCTTATCTCGTATATACGAAAGTAGAGAGTTGTTTAATGAACACATTCAATAAATATATCTGTTTATGCCCATTTTATTACAAAATTGAACTTATATATAACAGAGATACCACCGTGACGATATCTCAAGTTTATTACACATTATCATATTAGAAAGTTAAAACACATAACAATAATTGACGCATTATAGCACTACGGTGGCATACCCAGTATAAGAGAGTTTTTCTCCTATGCTAAAAAAACAAGCATCAACATGTTTTTTTGTGTAAGGAAAAAAGTTAAGGGGCGCTATTTTGAGCGCGTGAGTGACAGCAAGACCTTTGGACCAAATACAAAAAGTATATTATATAATATATATATATATATATATATATATATCTTAATTAGATGACAACTCAGAATGAATTCAAATCTGTTACTACTTTTGAACATTCCACAATCCAATAGACCACCCCACGACGTTCAACTAGCGTCCATTGGTTCACCGCCCCGCCTTTGCACGCGGCCAACCATGAATCATGATGAACAAGACCAAATTTGGTCATTTATTCTAATAAATTAATTTCCTGCCGCCAGGATACGTACGTAGCTACAACACTAGTGTTACTATATTTGGTAATTATACTAGCAGAGTAAAGATGCAGGTGGTCACCTCTTTCACCGTGGTGCAAACGAAACAACTCCACAAGCAATCCATGCACTATTCTCCCACCTTATAGCTAGGTAGCTGGAGTTGGTTCAGTAAAAATGAATGATTATTCATTCTAATCATCGATATAAGTAAATTTCTACGACTTCATGACTTTTAAGATCCAAAACATCTATTTTTCACATCTTCATTCATAGATCATCCTTGCCATCTTAAACGTGATTAATAAGTAATCTAGTTGGCTCTCCTTGTGAAATTCTTCACAAAATCATTTAAATGAAAAAAGGACTCTTTCAAACCTATATAAAACTTATGTGGGTGCAATTAGAAAACAATGTCTGAAAAAATTGAAGAAGTTATCCTCATATTTGAAAGCAAGAAACAAGAAAAGTATGTAAAACTTTATGCAAATTTGGGTAACTAGAGTAATAGATTGAGGGGAGGCTCTCTAAATGATTGATATATAGTTAGCGCATACAATTGAATTAGTGGGGTTGTTTACTTTTTTTTTTCTGACAGGACCCATCCAGAATTTCTCGAAACCTGGGACGAATCCTGTGAAATTCCCGACATCACACCAATGTCGGGACCACTCACTAAAACTATAACCTCCTTTTCCAAGGAAGGAATCAAGGCACGAGACTTTCTGCCGAAATTTCAGCAGAGTCGCCCCTGTAATTTGAACATTTCCCAGAATTTCAACCTGCATAAAACACATTTCATATTTCCAACTAGCAGCATGCACAACAAAACAACATGCAATTTACAAAAAAGAGAACCACTAGCAATGTTCTTAAATCACAATAATGCATTAAGCAATGCAAATAATAAACTCAAACTTACTTATGAATACCCCTTACAAATAACATAAATTTGCTTCCCAAATTTTAACATGCATCAACTATCATCTAAGAATTATCACCAAAAGTTCCAAGGCCTCAGCCTACTATACCACATGATCAAACTTAAAACAACATTTATTCCGAACTGGACCTCAGACCAGTCTGGACCAAACTCAATAAAACCACCCAAGTAAAGTTTAGCCCGCGGCTGCACCTAGGCACTACCTTAGGCTGCCTACGTACCTTTACTAAGGGATCAAGCCACACGTAGTTCTTTCATCAGAAATCCCGATTCTAATAATATACAATCCATTACAGCCATACAAATTCATACATTCTAGAATTTATTTAATTCCCTTTTTAATTTAAATCACAACTCACCAAACAAAATCTTTTTCAAACCTCTTTCTAATAATCACATAATCGCCTCATAAACCGGAAAATCCAATGCCACGTATGGGGTCTGTCAACACGCTGGAAAATCCTACGCCACATGTAACCTATCATCTAATATCACATACTCCCCATATGCCGGAACATCCAGCTCCACGTATTGGGCATGTCCACACGCAGGAAAATTCTATGCCACGTGGGACCTAGCCATCATATCACATAAGCTCCCCATACGCCGGAACATCCAACGCCACGTATGGGGTCTGTCAACACGCCGGAAAATCCTACGCCACGTGTGACCTCTCATCTCATATCACATACTCCCCATACGTCGAAACATCCAACGCCATGTATGTGGTCTGTCCACATGCCGGAAAATCCTAAGCCACGTGGGACCTAGCCATCATATCACATAATCTCCTCATATGCCGGAACATCCAACACCACGTATTGGGTCTGTCAACACCCCAGAAAATCCTACGCCATGTGTGACCTCAACATCATATCACATAATCTCCCCATACGCCGAAAAATCCAAAGCCACGTATGGGGTCTGTCAACACGCCGGAAAATCCTACGCCATGTGCAACCTCAACATAATATCACATAATCCCCCCATACGCTGGAAAATCCAACGCCACGTATGGGGTCTGTCAACACGCCGGAAAATTCTACGTCACGTGCAACCTCAACATAATATCACATAATCCCCCCATACGCCGGAAAATCCAATGCCACTTATGGGGTCTGTCAACACGCCGGAAAATCATACTCCACTTGTAACCTCTCATCTCATATCACATACTCCCCATACGCCGGAACATCCAACGCCACGTATGGGGTCTGTCCACATGCCGGAAAATCCTAAGCCACGTGGGACCTCACAATCACAGGATGGTACTTACACAATGTAATCAAACATCTTTATAGTGTGTATATATATATATAATAATTCCCAAAATAGCATAAACCTCAACCACAATATAGCATCTGATAATCTCTCAAACGAAAACAATAAATTAATATCCTAGTCCCACAATAATTAAGAAGGAATAACTCCTCATTATGTGTAATGATTCAAGTATTTTTATGCCTGAAATAAAATTCATGTTAGTTACATATGTAGAAGTTGAGATAGGATTGAGAAGAAGACTAGATTGAAGAATGACCCTGTCGAGGATTGTTTTGTATTCATCACAAATTTATAATTACAAGAGTTGACTTTGTACAAAGCTAATAATAGTAAGTAAATATATCTAGAATAAATATAGTGGTCTGCATATAGGAAAGAATATGAGATTGCTTCTGTCAAGAGCAATCTCCCTTGGTAGATGGAGAAATATTTGTTCATGGTAGAATTACAGGAGAAGACTTCGTGGTGTTTTCTTTAGGTGGGAGGCTTCTCTCTTCAACCCCCCCCCCCCACCTCAAGCGAAACAGAATGATGTGGAGGTTGAGCTTGGTACTGAGATAATGAAAGCATTCACGAGTGAGCCCTTTGGTGAAAATGTCAGCCAACTGATGATGAGAGGACACATGATGGGTGCGAAGAACCCCTTGAGTGAGTAACTCACGAACAAAATGATAGTCGATTTCAATATGACGGGTCCGGGCATGAAAAATGGAATTAGCAGCTATGTGAAGTGCGGAGATATTATCAACATAGATGCAGGGAGTTGAGCGCAAAGGAATGCCAAGCTCATGAAAAAGGAAACAAAACCAACGAATTTCAGCAGCAGTGGTAGCTAAAGCACGGTATTCAGTCTCGGTGGTTGACTGAGATACGGTGGATTGCTTCTTGGTAGTCCAAGTAAGAAGATTTGGACCCAGAAAAATGCAAGCACCAGTGGTAGAACGTCGATCACAACAGAGCCAGTCCAGTCAGCATTAGAGAAACCATGAAGGGAAAAATCATGAGAACGATGAAAAACTATACCATGCTCAAGAGTCCCTTTAATGTACAGATAAATGCATTTAACACTTTGAAGATGAGTGGTGCTAGGAGCATGCATGAATTGGCACACTTGATTGACGGCAAAGACAATATCGGGGCAAGATAGTGTGAGATACTGTAGACCACCAACCATACTACGATAGGGAGTAGGATCAAGCAAGAGGTCACCATCAAGGGACAAGAGCCGGGTTAAGGAAGACAATGGAGTTAGACAGGGCTGACATAACTCCATGTTGAACTTCTTCAACAAGTCAAGTGCATAACGAGTCTAAGACAAGGAGATGGTTTTACGCATGCGAAGAATCTCCATTCCAAGGAAGAAGCTAAGATCACCCATTTTGAGACTATCAAACTTGGAACATAGAAGATCAATGAATGATGAAATCTCAGCGGAACTATGACTTATGACAATGATGTCATCAACATAAATAAGAACATAAATAGAAGTATGTGAGCCATGATGAATAAATAAGGATGCATCTGAATGGCTG